GTAAGTGAATTTGACATCCTTCATGCCTTGCTTTATTTCTGCTTTCAAACATCAGACATCACAATGACTAAGGTTGGTATTAGGCTCTTTAAAATACTGTTTGTTGCTTTTAATAGAAAGGGAAAATGTACACTTTAAGACACATTAACAGGAAAAGATTCATATTCAATGCAGAAACATCGTCTCACCAACTCTTGTGTGGTTTCTTGTTTTTTTCTTTGGCTTGTGTGAGTGAATTGTGAGTTTTGATGTGAATGATATACATAAACATAAACTGTTTAAAAAGATATGCCCTACACTGTAGGCATATTGCCTGTATAAAAGCTCTGGATAATCATGAATGAAATAGTAGTTAACAGTAGAAAATGTAGCTTTCAAGTTCTTGCTTGCACGCTCATTGTTGCATGTCTGCTGCTTGTCTTGCTCAGCTCCCTGCCCCGAAAATGGCTTCAGGTGCGATGGTGGCCTTTGCATCTCCAGTCTGCAATATTGTGATGGTTATTCAGACTGCTTGGATGGCTCTGATGAGCCCTTTGCTTGTGGTATGTCAAAGAAGATTTTTGCATTTTTTTATCAAGTATTATTATTATGTTGTTGTTTTTTATAATATACTATTTTTATTTTTAGATGGAAATCAATACTGATTCAGGTTAATGCCATGGTCTCCCTAAATGACAGTTGGGACCAGTTATTACATGATCCTTTTATATCATCTGATGTCTCATTTGTCTATTTGTACTGTATTTACCTTATTTCCTGTGTGCAGCTATGTTCTGTAGCCGACATATAAAGTGAAACGCACATGTGAGCTGAAATTAATCTCTTATCACTGGATTATGATGACTTGTTTGTGAAATGTTTTAGTTATTATGTATGTGTTTTTCCTGATTATTTTATGGTGCCATACTCTGTATTTTCATATTTGATTCTGGTTTTGCATTGTCAGGTATTCTAACAAAAGCTGACAGAATGTTTTCTGTTATGGGTACTAATTAAAAAAAAAAAAAATTTATATGCCTGACTTTCGCTAGCAAATGAAGGACGAAACTGTACCAGTGAGGAGTTTACCTGTCGGGATGGAACATGCATCAACTCAACGTTACGGTGCAATGGTCAGATTGAGTGCCCAGATAGCTCAGACGAATTTGAATGCTGTAAGTTTAACTTCTCCCCCTTCAAAATAAATGTTTTGGAAAATGTAGCGCACATCTAGTGCCATCCGTCCATTGTGAATCTTCTTTCTCCGACTTCACTCCGGCCCTCTTCAGCATGACTCAGCGTTTTCGGGAATTTCGTCCATGTCCATCTCATCGTTAATGTTTATTTATTTTTTCATATTTTGAATAACAAATTTTGAACCAGTGTGTAGTGCTGTTGTCTAATACTTTTTTATTATGTTTTTCACCTTTTAGGATATAATTATTTGAAATAATTAGATATGCTCTTTTTCTTATGTGCTATGACTATGAAACTATATGGTGGATTTATGGTACAAGTGTTTTGATTTATATATTCATGGTATAAGATTTTGTCAAACAATATCACTGATCCAGTGATTTAGGAAAATCCTAAATTCACCATTACAAATTTCCAGTTTCTATGCCATACATAAAGGAGGAGAGTACTGCCAGTACTGTGTTAACTGAAATTTGTCTCGTACAAAAAAAGTACTAATGGTAGTATTACACCTAGTACTTTTTTGTGCCGGAAATGGTAGCACCAATATTCTTTGCACCAGTACCCCTACAGGTACTCAGTAATTTTTATTTCTGTACCTTAGTTGCTTTTTTTTATTATACATTGAAAGCATTTTTTGAGCAATGAGGTACCAGCAGTACTGCACTCCTTTGGGTATGTGTTTTCATCTCTGACTTTTTCACCTTTTCTTAATTTCTTTGACTTTTTTACTTATATGCATGGTAGATAGAATGATGGTGTAGTCATGCATGAAGCATTATTTATGCCTTTGATATCATATTATTTGTCATAGATATCTGTTTAGACATGTTTTGAGTGTCTTAGCAAATATGTTTGATTTATTTTTGCATTTTGATGTCATTTAACATTCTTTTTGTGCTTTGATGAATGATTATTTATTTTTTATTTTTTTTTTAATGAACTTCGAGAATGAGTCTCATGGTATAATTAGTGGAGGAAATGTTTTTTTTCATAAATTGATAATGGATATTTTACCTCTGAAATATGAATAGCTTAGATACAGGTGTGTGATTTTCATTTACTTGCTATCACGAAAATTGCCATTTCCTATGTTTTTCAGTGTTAACACAGTTTACTCTGATATTGAGTTTATCAATTATGGTGTAAAATATATGAAATTTGTAAAAACTGTACTGCCTTTGTTTTATGAAATGTATGTGAAAATTGTCCAAACTCTACTGACATGGTTCTATAATCATAACACAATAGGTGAAGGAACTTCTAACAATACTAGCCCAATTAAGAAATAACTTATCTAGGGTTAAGCACCAAGAAAAGGTTT